GTAAACATAAAACCATGTCTGCATTTGTGATCTGAGAAATTACAAACAAGTGCTACTCTACACGGCTTAAAACTCGTGTTTGAATCTTCAGTGGCAAATCCTTTAAATATGAAAACGTACTTACAGTCTGTGAGTCAGAACAGCCGGCATTGTAGTCTACTCTACCAGGATCAGGAAACAGTCCTCCATAAAATGCGCTGCACACATCTGAATATTTGGGTTGAAGTGTTCTGGAACAGTGTTGTAAATACAACTTAACCACTGATTTCTAGTCGTGTCCTCTTTTGGAAGGCCAAACAAAGCATTTTCGCTTTCGCAACGAAACACACAGCGTCTTCACAACATGGCGGCAGCAACAATAAAGTTACGCCTTCTTTCTTTGTGTGAACATTTGGGCGGTGTTATGCAAATCTTCCCACATCGTGACGTAGATATGTGGGGGCGTGTTTAAACGAGGAGTTTTAGGAGGGCGTGAACGAGTCTTAACTTTTATAAAGTTTATCTCTTTGGGTTTGAGACTTTAGTTTTTGCAACTTTAGGGATCTTATCTATTCACGAACAGCTTGTAACACTCCAAAGAGAAAGGAAAACTTGAAATCGCATCACATGACCCCTTTAAATAGGGCACTGGGCAAAGAAGAGAGAACCAAGTGAACAGGAGTAGTGTGGGTGTGTGTTCTGTAGGAAGTATTTTGGTACTCAACTTAGAAAAATGTAACAATACTAGTCTTTCCATTTCAGGCTTTTCTATTGTTAGTACCGAGTACTCGATTTGGCACTTGCAATTATGCCTAGTGATTGGGTAAGATTTATTTGTTTTTGTTTTTAAAAGAAGTCTCTTATGCTCACCAGGACTGCATCTATGTGATCAAAATACAGTAAAATCAGTAATATTGTGGAATATTATAACAATGTTAAATAACTGTTTTCTATGTGAATATATTGAAAAAAATTTTAATTTATTCCTGTGACGCAAAGTCAAATTTTCACCATCATTACTCCAGTCTTCAGTGTCACACGATCCTTCAGAAATCACTCTAATATGCTGATTTGCTGTTCAAGAAACATTTCTTATTACTATCAATGTTGAAAACAGTTGTGGTGCTTCATATTTTTGTGGAAACTGTATACTGTATTTTTTTTGGATGAACAGAATGTTCAAAAGAACAGAAAATTATTGTAACAATGTAAAAGTCTTTGTACTGTAAAAGTCTGTTTGATGCATCCTTTTTTTTTATTAATTCATTGTATTAAAAATATCAAAATATCTAGCCATGTTTAATTAATTGAGAAATATAACATTTAGGCTACATACATTTTCTTCCCCCAAATTATTTTAAACTTTTTAAATAAACTAATTGTTTCTATAATATTTTTGTCTGGGATATTGAAATTGGTATCAGCTATTGTGAACGTCCACTGGTTTTTGTATGAATAATCCAGCCCTATGTTTATGGGTGTGTGTCCTCACCAGCACGTGAGCGGCTCTGAACAGGTAGCTGAAGGGGTAGTACAGCAGGTTGATGAACGAGGCAGCATACAGGTCAGCGTAACGCATCACCTGAGACGCAAACAGAGTCTGCCGAGAGCCACTGCGGAACAGACTTCCCATCATCCCATAGCACATGTCCATGTCATGAGTCACTTTCTGATGACGCAGAGAAAATCACTAAATGAGCATGTCAGTGTTATTTTAGTATCATATATAGTCTATAAAATTTAGTATATTTATCCTAGTTTTAGTTATTTTAGTACATCAACTTAAACTAAATGAAAATGAGAAATGTTGCCTTGACAACTAGCTGAAATAAAATAAGTGAATGTCTATTTTATTTCAAATTATGATTTTAAGGTGCTAGTTTTGTTTTTAGTTGACAATAATAACCCTGTAACACTGAATATATAACATCACTCTTGCAGCTTATTAATGCGGTCTATGAACAACATATGTGGTAGGCTGTTGATTGCCATGGAATTAAACTTACAAGACTTATAAGCTACCATTACAAGCTTATTTACTGTAAACATATTTATTGAGAGCACGTCACAGATGCTGTTTATAAAAACAAAATAACCCAGAATATTTCTAAACTTTAAACTCTTTAAAAGTTATTGATACTTGTGTGAGTGTGTGATTTAGTCTATGTACCTTCATTCTTCTCTGGATGGCACTGATATCTGGCCTCTCATTGCTGCTGCTGTCCAAATGCCTAAAGGAAGAAAGAATGTGATATATATATGTATAAACACCTATAGAAGCTTTTACTTATTTTTTATTAAAAACGTTTGTTGTTCAATATGACAGAAGGACACTTCATTTCCCAGAATCCTCTAATTTACTAAATACTATTATGGTGCGTTATGGATGACTCCAAAGTTCTACTCAGAGCTTTTCACGTAGGCTACTCTGACTCAGAATTATGCATTTCTATGTCAACACTATTAATGCCAACATAAATCGGTGTAATTTGAATAATCAACAGACAAAACCACAATACATCAAGTAACAGTCAATATGGAAATGCCTTGTTAGTAAACTTTTTATTTAGTTTTATTAGTTTTTTTTTGCAGGATATTATGCATTTATCCAACTCTGTGCTAGCTAATATAAACTGTATGGTATGCGTTTTATTTTCATTTTAAGCATCAGAAATGACAATTATACAGTCAGACAATTATAGGAATTGTTAAACTGAAATATTAAGAGATAACTACTTAACCAGCTTTTACTGCTGAACCTTTATTATAGTCCATTTATTCAAACTCTAAAGTCAACATTTATTTTTATAACGTCATCTAAAAACAACATGATGGACATTTTGTGAATGCTAAAATAAAAATCAGTGTTGATGGCTGTATAGTTGATTTTGTGTTGGGCTAATGTTACTTGATTTTATTAGAATTGCAATTCAGTCAAGTCCACTTCCTGTCAAAAACTAGCAGGGCATGGCCAATGAAATAAAAGGGAGTCCATTTCTAAATTCTGAACGTACACACACACACACACACACACGTGCTGAGGAAGGAATAGAGGCAGCTTTACTCACTTGTATAGTTCTGCCAAGAAAATGTCCAAGCCCTGCAGTTCCTCGAACAGAGCTGTGAATGAGAGGGCAGAACCCTGTCATGATTGGGTTTCACATCTCTCTTCCTTAGCCTTTCAAGTGTGAACATCTCATGTCACTCTTTCTCTTTCTCTGTGTGAGCCTTCCTTTACTGAGATTCTCCCAAGAAGGCCTGTTTCACACTACACACAATCGTAACTGTGACAGCAGACTCATATTGTGCTTTCACAGTGACAGAACTGCAGCTCTATCCAGAATATTAAGTAAGTTATAGGTTACGACAATTTAAGTATTTCTTGTAGTAATGGCCATACTTTATAAAATGGTTATCAGATATAGGCCATTGATAATTATTACAAAACTGATCATCATCAAATATAATTAATATGCGAAAAGGGATTACATTTACATCCAAATGGTAATAAATCTACATGGAATGCTTTAAACTGCTATAAACCACTATAAACTGCTACAAAAGACTGCATAGATAAACAGGTTTACATAGGATATTCACTCTATTTTCTGCAGGGTTCAGCACCCACTTTACTTGCAGTTATGCATCACCAGTGTGCTTACAGCAACAATGCTGTAACCTGTTATTATGGGCACCCAAAATAAATGTGTGCTGCTTATGTGCAGTGTGAAACAGGCCAACGGCTTATTTTACTGATATATGGCGACACTCACAGCTTTTGTCTGTCCACACATGCAGCTCCTGAGCCAATTCAGGAATCACCAGGAACGTCCGCCAACCCTGTCGCTTCTTGGACTTAAGAATATCTCCAAAAATATGATCTCCAATGTACAAAATATCCTTCCCTTTTGCTCCGAGCAGGTCACACATAATATCAGAAGAACCTGGGCAGAGATTAAAACATAATTTTTTTTTAGAAATGAGTGGCATTTTCACATAATATATCTATGGTATTCTCAATACCCAGAAAAAAAAGCTACATACTGAATCAAACTGCAATTATTTCATTACAATATTTTCCCTGTTTAACATGAGAGTCGTGTGATTTTATGCCTTCGTTCTTACAGCATTGATGTCCAATCAACAGCAATATAAGATGTTAAATGTTTATCATAGCACAATTTAAATGACAATCATTATATTTGTAAAACATAATCTCAATATGAATTGTTTTATCATGAATCTCTTTTATCAATGAATCAGAGCTAAGGGTAACACTTAACACTAATCATATTAATGTTAGTTAACATTACATAACATGGAACAATTTGTTACAGTATTCATTAATCTTGGTAGCATTCTATTTTATAGTCCTGTTCCACATGTACTGTCTATGTATATTACATTATACAGACCTGCCAACCTCGGGGGGTTTGCAAGATTTAATGTTTAATATTTTTTATAGGTTAATTATCAGGGTCTGCACTCAGTTTGTGATATTCCTGTTATACAGTATTTTAGAGTAAAAAGTAGTGATGCAACAATACTGTTAAGCCCACGGTTCAATAAATACTTTAGTTCTTTTTTGCTATTTTTAAATGCTATTTTAAAAAAGAAGTATTATTTTTATGGATTGGCCATTATTTAGTGCTATGAACACATGTAATGTGTGTTTCATTCACACTGGACGCCTGAGGGTGCCCTCGCACAGAAACTCCACATATACATTATAGAAGAAATAGAACTCAGGACGCTCCAGGAAATCCCTAATATGGACAAAAACAGACAGCTATCGCTGTAACTGAATGAAAGAAGACAGAAATGCTTTGAATGATGAGATTCAAAAAGAACATTAAGATAATAAACACTGTACTGTGACAATGTTTTTCTGTGTTCTTAAAACCACCTCGAGTATTTTAATAATTAAGTAACGTTATATTTATAATCCACTGCTAATCGACTTAGCCGTTATTCCAGTGTAGAATTTATTTCTGCGTCATTCTGTGATAAGAAGCCACATCAGATCAAGAGGGAAATTATTTTAAATATTTGTCTGATGTTGTGCAGTAAAATAATGTTATAATGTTCTTTTTTGTTGTTGGACAAAAGGTTTAGTCATTACAAGGGAAGATGCTCGGCGTGTGTTGCTTTTTCAGATGCAGGCTTTCCTCATCTCAGTGCGCAGACTCAGGGACACACAAACAGAGCCAGCTTGGAGAGAAATAAAATGCACAGAAATTTAAAAGCAAAACCTGAAAAAAAAACGCTCTGATTGTTTGAACTCTTCATCTTTTTCTGTTGCTTGTTTTGAATACTGCACGTGGACAGAGGCGTCACCAGGTTTTTTGCGTAGTTTAGAGTGACAAATCGTACCAGCGTACTTTGAGGTCAAAATGCGTATCCGCTACGCAAAATGCGTACAGATTGGCAGGTCTGCATTATAGTAATTACAATAACTTGGTAATAGCCATGAACCCTAGTTACCTTATTTTACCAGTACTTTCATGTAGTTAACTAACATATTACCGAACTAAGTGACTGTACACATGCAGTGAAAAATCATGTGATAAACTGTTCATCTGTAGTAGACCAGATGTCCTTGTGATCTATGTTTCAATGCCTTGAGGAGATACATCACTGTGTGTGTGTGATTTCCATCTTTATCCAAGAATTTAATGTACCTCCAGAGTAAACAATGCCATGTTGTAAAGGTCCAGTGTATGTTCCTATTTTCAGCCGCCCTGTAGTCTGTGATAGAGAACAGACTGATTAATATTTAGATGTCCAGACTGTCTGAATATTCATTCCATGTACTTCAGTGGTTCACAACCAGGGGTCCAGGGCTCACTAAGGCCCATCAGCACACTTCCAAGGGGTCCACAAGATTACTTAAAATAAGACAAACAAGCTTTAAAATAAACTAAAACAGGAAGGAGTTGTGTGGGGGGGAAAAAAGAAGAAAGAAATACCAAAAATATCTTGGGTGGCCTTTGGATATTGTCTTAAATGAGTCAAAAAGGTTGGGAAACACTGATAAACTTTATTACTATTACTGTATTTTTTTTCAGCACAAATAAATAACTTTGCATCTTGTTGGTTGGTTGGTGGTTAAACTGGATTGTGGGGGTTACAGACAGATTTTTGCATTAAAAGATCTCTCTTAGAAGTGGCATGACTGTTCAGTGAACTGTTTAGCTCCTTAATACTGCAAAGCGAATCTGTAAAAGGGAAGACAGGAAAGGGAATTTTCCTCTCTAATTAGTTCTATTGTGCTCAGCAGACTTCATTATAAATGCTCAATACTCAGCAAAAAAAGAAGAAAGAAATACCAAAAATATCTTGGGTGGCCTTTGGATATTGTTTTAAATGAGTCAAAAAGGTTGGGAAACACTGATAAACTTTATTACTATTACTGTATTTTTTTTTCAGCACAAATAAATAACTTTGCATCTTGTTGGTTGGTTGGTGGTTAAACTGGATTGTGGGGGTTACAGACAGATTTTTGCATTAAAAGATCTCTCTTAGAAGTGGCATGACTGTTCAGTGAACTGTTTAGCTCCTTAATACTGCAAAGCGAATCTGTAAAAGGGAAGACAGGAAAGGGAATTTTCCTCTCTAATTAGTTCTATTGTGCTCAGCAGACTTCATTATAAATGCTCAATACTCAGCGCTGACTAACCTTCTTTGTGATCACGTTCAGCAGGATAAAATGTTCCAGAATGTGCAATACTACACCTGCTGACTTTGAGATTCTGCTTCTGTTTTTGTAATAGTAGAGCTTTTTGTTTGATATACTCACCGTATCCACCTGTCTTAGAACAGTTCCCTCTCCAAAAAATAAAGGCTTTCGAGCATCCACTAGGATAAGGTCGAAGTATGACTGCCACGGACGGTGTGGAGTGCCATGCTACAACATAAAACATTATTATGAGCAACAATACTGTATATGACAGGAAACTCTTTCGAAAGGTTTAAGAACAGGCTGAAAAAACTATGTGAATACCTTTGGACCATGGGGGAAGTCAAACAAGTATGTCATAATTTTCTGTAAAACAAATCAAAACAAAAAGATCATGGTTTGTCTGTGTCCAAGAATGAAACAAACCAGTTGCATGTGCAATAGTCTATTGCTCTGATTCAAAACCTAGTAAGCTGCATACAGAGGGATTTTTTTATGGCACAGTTTTGACAAAGCCTTTTGAAAAGCATAGCTTAACTATGCTGCCTCCTATGATTTAGCAAATTGTAAAAAACTAAAAATCAAGATGTAAGTGGACACTGTATTTCTTATTTTAATTTGTGCCCAAGAAACAACTGTTACTTTTTCAACAATTTTTATTTATGAACCAGGGCTCTCACAGCCTTTTTAAAAGTGGGAATTTTAAAAATATGTTTTCTAGACAAGAGAATATATATATATATATATATATATAGTATATAATATACACACAACAGTTTCTGGTCCTCAAATCTGATTGGCTGAGAGCCTTTCCAGGCATGAGATATTCTAGTTGTAAAAAAAAACTGTTGTTAAGACAGAAATGAAGATTAAAATAGGGTAATGAAGGTAGTTAATTTTTGACAGGAATGAAAACAGGCTGTGAGGGACAGAACTACAGTGCGTTTAATGGGTTGTTAAACAGATCGATTATTCCGCTGATGGAATCTTTCCAAAAAACCTTTCAGTAGACAAAAACAGTTTTGAAAGTTGTGAAAATTACATGATCTAATTCAATATGGCACATACCCTGATTAAGGTCTATTAAAATTTCAACCAACATTTGTGTGTGGCATGTTATTAGAGTACTGCGCTTTTAGCTTACGTAAATCAGCCAGTGTAAAGCGATCCAAATCTCTCATTTGTGAGGTTACCTTAAAGGAAGCATGTTCTCAATATGCAGATAACTAGGTTCTGAAACAGAGCTTATGTATGCATTTTCATCAGTAAACTAACATCTGTGTATTTGTAGTCACTGTTGGTGGCTAAGAAAACTTTTGCGACTTCATTCATGCGGCTCAGCAGCAATGGCAACTTGGCCTTTAAAATAGAAAAAAAAAACAGTTATTTTGAGAAATACAGTAACTTCAGAAAAAAAAAATAATAATAATAACTTACATCTTTCACAACATACTTCTCCAGGTTTTCTACTGTTTTCTCCTTCAATGTTCCCTGAGAAAATAAATAAAGCCTTTAACAACAGAACAAGTTTATGACATTCATCAAAAACACTTAAATTAGGAATCCAGTACCTACCTGTACTATTTCAGTTAATCATAGCTGTCTGCTATTAATGTACACAGCTACTTTGGGATATTACTCGGATAGAAAGAGAAACAGAGAACCTTTTTACCTTAAAATGTACCCAGTCTACAGCGTCTCGAACATCTTGGAACATGCTCTTGAAGGACATGAAGAGGTCTCCATCCTTAAAGCCCGTTTCACAGCTAAAGGTTTAGAAAGAACAAAAGGACAGCAGAGTAAGAGGCCGAGCTCCAGCTCTGACACATTTTATCGACAGTCAGACATGTTTAAATGGGACAGTCTTCCCTTGTTTGAGGTTGTCCGAGCCAAACAGGAAAGCTCTCTCCCCCTAAAAGGACCAACAGGTGTTTCAGAGGACATGCATCCATACCAAAACACAAATCACAGACTATTACGTTTTAACAGATTTAATCTAGACTAAATAACTCTGGCTGTTTTTTTTCTCAGAGCACGAGTAGCATTATTTCCATGCCATTTAAAAGTTATAGTTTTAAATGTTTATTTTACCTGCTTTACACGCAATATGATAAGTCATTAGCAAGTTAAAGTAAATGGATTATAAATTATGGCATGCACGGACATGATTCCAAGTTGAACCACAGACTACAATCTGATTGCGTCCTGTTTTATAGCATAGTTGTAAAAATGTTATGCTGTATTAGGATTTTCTTATCAAAACATAAAGTGTTAGGTGGTGAACTGATATAGAGAGCATTAAACAGTCCTCACCCACAGTAAATAATACTGATTATGAATCAGTGGTAAGGCTGTATGCAGTGTCCAAGGCAACAGAGTAATAGAATCATAGTCACTGGAACTCCTACCTTGAATATCGGTCACAGTTTGAGAAGAAGTCAACCAGGCAGGCTAAAAGGTATGTTTCTGTACAGAGAGAGAGAAACAGATAAAGAAAGAAGGAGAGTATGAAAGAAGTTCTCAGATCCAGTTTATTTTGGGGTCAGTAAGATTATTTATTTATTTATTATTATTATTATTATTATTTTGAAAGATCAATGGCAGTAAAAACATTTATAGTGTTAAAAAAGATATCCATTTCAAATAAATGCTGTTCTTTTGATCTTTCTATTAATCAAAGAATTAAAAAAAATTATACAAAAAAAGTATTACGGTTTCCACGAAAACATTAATCAGCTAATTCTATTTTCAACATTGATAATAATAAGAAATGTTTCTTGAGCAGCAAATCAACATAGTATAATGATTTCTGAAGGATCATGTGAGACTGAAGACAGGAGTAGTAGTTCCGCTTTACATCACATGTATAAATTAGATGAGTTTGCAACTTTGAAGTTGGCTTGAAAAATCCTTGACTGAAAGTTTGAAGCAGTTGTAAAAGCTTGAATTTTGAAAGCTTAAATAAACAGAGTTTGTACGGAAGAAGAAGAATAATATATTGATATGTACATTTTCTGAAGAAAATGTGAGTGGTGCTTGCCGTGGCAAAACTCGACACTTTGCAGTTACTTTTCTTTTTGATCATGTTTTAACAATCAGTTAGGACTTTTAAAGTGTTTAACACTTAGCTAATCGCTATTAGCATGTATCTATTCACTGCTAGCATGTGTAGCATGTTGGAAGTCCTGTTTGCTAGCACGAGTCAAATGTGCCAAGACCCATGTCTATATGATGCTCTGATGCAGAGATATAGGTCTTATAAATGGTTGCTAGGGCACTCTGTTTGGTTGTTAGGGAGTGGCTTGGCAGCTACCAATGATGATACTCCAAAGACTGCTTGCCAGTATGAATGGTATAAACCAAACCCCATGTCTCTGTGGCATACAGATTTGAAAATATCCCTCTTTAGGTTTGGGGTCACAAGGGTGCTTGACAATGGTTGCTAGGGCATGAATAGGAAGTGGTGAAGATAATAAGTGATGGCTATTTGCTGCCCCCAAACAAACGAATCCAACCTCATGTCTCTACGACACTGCGATACAAAGATATTCATCTGGGCTTTTTATAGAATGGCAGTCTATGGGATCAGTTGCTAGGGTGCTCTAAATGGTTGCTAGGGCATGGCTTGATACTTTCACCATGATCCTGAGAGACTGATTGGTTGCCTGAGTAAAATGAGCCACCCCCATGTCACTATGACACTGTGATGTAGAGTTATGTTCAATGCAAAATTCCTATGCAAGTTACCTTAGTAGAAAAAACGTGTGCTCAGATTTTGTTTCATGGCCATCCCTCACTATAGTATGTCTATGGGGCCACTTATACCCCATTGCGGGGTATGTTCTCGCATAGCTTGCCAGCCTCTTCAAATGTGGTGACCCACATGTTTCTATGAAATTCTCGCTCTGCGCTACGAACCGTCAAAGTTGGCCGCAATGCAAAGTCTGGGATTTTTCGCATGCTGTGAGAACATCACACTCCCGATCGCTTAAAAAATTCAACGCACACCTCTCCTCAATAAGCCGCATGATTTTACACCTTTTAAAATATATTCAAATAGAGAACAGTTCTTTTAAATTGTAATATTTAACAATATTACAATTTTTACTGTATTTTTGATCAAATAAATGCAGCCTTGCTGAGCATAAGAGACTTCTTTTAGTAACATTTAAAAAAAACTTACACAAGCAGTTTTGATGAAAGTGCATTTGAAAATGCAACAAAAATATTTTATCTTGCAAAAAAAATGCACTTACCTTATTGCAGATGAGAAGGTCTAAAACTCTCATGTCATTTGGTCAGTTCAAGTAAAAATTTGCTTTAAATGGAAAATTCTGGCAATATCTACTCACCTTATGTCATTCCAAACAGATGGCCTTTTTTCCAGACAAATTGGCAAAGCTGCTTTTTTGCCATATGCTCTCATAATGCGCAATTATTAAGTTCAGTTGGATCGTAGCATAGTTTATTAAAAGATAAGTAAAAAAACAAAGAATGAAAAAATTAATTTCCTGCTTTAAATGTAATTAATGTGTTACAGTTATGACCTTAAATTTCAATCCAAGCATGAATCTCTGAATCACCAAGAATGAATCACTTCATTACTCTGTCATACTGTACGAAAGAAAAAACCCCCAAAAAGAATAACTGCACACAAATACAATTACAACCTGTTTCTGAAGACTATATACATGGCCGTTAGAACAAATATTCTCAGGAAGCAACTCAGGAATTTAAAATAAAAAAACACACTCCTCATGCACACGTAAGCATTAAGAGTTAAAAAGAGCCACTGTTAATGTGTATCTGAATGGCAGCCAGTGACAGGGCTACGTATAGGACAATGATAAAGTGCCTACCTGGAAGGTTAAAGAGTGTGTTGAGGATGTAGAAGCGTTCTGTGTCATCACGCTGGATAAACTTGTTGGGATAGAGCTCTCGGGTGTCAGGGCTGGCAGTGAGCACAGAAACATTATGAGCACATACTCCATCGGTTTCATCAGAGTTCAGTAACCAAGACCATCCAGGCAGGGCTTGACGGGGATTGGGATTACTCACCCTCGCAGGAAGATAAAGCCATGGGCACACACCAGGATGTTTCCATAAGCATCTACCTTCAGGAGGTTGCCATACATGGTGTCAAACACCAGACCTCTGTAAAAACAAAAAGAAAATAAAGGGTTAAATGTGTTATTTATCCTATAAACATAATATCAAATGATAGTCTTGGTACAGACAACTGTCTCAAATATGGTCTGCCAATGAGAGTGTATTACCTTGTAGGGAAAGTGGGGTCGTAAACAAAACCGAGCAGTTCCTGCGGGTAGCCAATGGAGACCAGCCGCTCCACAGTCAGATCAAAGCCCAAAGATTCATATTCAGGTGATTTGTATACTATTGATAAGAGAGATAATTCAGTAAGATATATTGAACAGCGCAAATAAAATGAACAGACTACTATATAATTCCACTGTTACATTCCGTACAGTCTTGTAATAAGTATTAATATACCATAGAGGCACTGTTCATTTTAAAAATGTTTCATTTTTTACTCACCCTCATATTGTTTCAAACCTTTTTTTTTTTCAAAAGAAGATATTTGTTGTTTTTGTCAATTTGTTCGTTTTTTTTTTTACAATTACAGTAAATGGGGTTCAAAACTAGCTACAAGCCCCAGACATGACATGCAGATGAAAAAAAAAGGATATTGTGGCCACAAATTAAGATTTTGTTCGCCATTTTAGTTCAGTTGTGGCCACATTGTTCTAATGAGTTCTCTCGTTTTAGTTTAATCGTGTTCACTTTGTAATAATTAGTTCCCTAGGTTTAATTTAATTAAATTGTGGCCACAATGAATTAGTACACAAGGGAATAAATGACTACAATGTGGCTCTCAGAAATAAAGGTACAAAGCTGTCACTGGGGTGGTACCCTAAGGCACAAAGCCTAAATGGTACATTTTAGTTGATCACTAAATGGTGCATATTAGTACCTTAAGTTAAAAGTGTATATTAGTACCTTTTGAAAGGGTACCCTCCTAGTTTTGTACCTTTTCCTGAAAGTGTGCGGAGCTCTGTATTTTGTTACATACTAAAGTATTAGCTGCCCAAACAATTCTCTCATTTACTAATAACTATTGGCACAATGATTAATATTTGTGGCTGAAATAACTGTAAAACCCTCCAAGCTAAGTTTATTATGGAAGGGATCTCAATAACAACGGACCAAAAATAAAACATAAAGATGCATACATGGCAGCGTAAGTGTTGTATTTAAAGACACTCTCTGTGATACGTGTGGACCCCAACCTTGTCCTTTCACAGAGCAAGCGAAGTGTACCAGAACATTCACATTACAAAGGCTTAGCAGGGCCATGTATGCCCTGTGATCTAATCCAGTATGAAACCGGACCCACTTGCCCTAAAAGATTTAAACCCAATTAGATCCCAAGCCTCTGCAGAGGGATTTGGGTGGTATTTCAGCAACAAAAGGCATTTCGCGAGACCTAACCACAAAATCTGTTGTTCCAGCCTGACACCCAATTGAAGAAGAAATTAAAATAAGATGGACATGTATAGAACAACAGCTTCAGCAAAGATAGGAGTTACTAAACTGTACACAGACACACTTAAGCTCACGTTACATGTTGTTATGGAAGAGCTGGAAATGTGTTATGCTTGTTGTTGATGAGGAGGCAGGTTAAAGGGCAGAAACCCAGAAGGATCTCTTGAGAGTACGGAATGAAAAGAAGAGGAGTGCCTCAGGGTGAACTCCTGGGTCCATTGCTAATGAAGACTGAGATGTTTGACCACAACAACCTGTTTGTTTGTTTTTTGTCAGAATGCTGTTTTTCTATAATAGGCTTGTGTTTGTGCAAGTCTGAAAATTGTTTGTCAAGATAAGCTCACTAAAAGGAGAAGCTTTATTCTGTTATGGTCCTTCAGAACACCTTTTTATCTGCAGTTGTTCTATTTTGTGCAGTCTCCCACTTTCAGTTTCCCTCTTTCCCTCTTTCAAAGCCAAATTCCTCTTTCAAATAAATTCCTTGATGGTCACAGACAGGTGCGACACATTCGCTATAACAAAAAATAGCAATGGTTCCACACACTGTCGTAGACCTTTGTTGACATTTGACCAAAATGCTGTGTTTTTTAGTACAAGCCGCAGCAGCGTTTTTCTTTTTTTCCCACAGCTATTGATTCCTTTGTCATTTTACTAATCCATACAGACTATCATAGCCTAGTTTTTCCAGTTCCATCTAAATTACATCACAATCACAATCTTTGAGTTATATGAGACATTACAGTAAGTTATTTGTAGGACTGCCTCCAATGAGTTTCACGATCTGTTCCAGGCTTGTATATCTACAGATGTATGACAGACAGGCTGTGGAGTGTGAGGCAGATAGAAATGAATCCCCCAGAAAGCCAAGGCCAGAAGTACAGGCACACACAGGCAAGCAAACCCCAACAGAGTCACTAACTCAGGCCAGATTCTTCCACACAGATAGCAGCTGTACACAAACCCAACTGCCCCTTCCAGTTCTGTCTCTCTCTCTCCTCCCTACGATGTTCCACGAAGCTACAGCGAAACCTATTTTGAGCCTCTTATTCCCTCTCAGTCACTATTCCCATCATCACTCTTTGCTTAACTGCATACACCAGTGTTGACCTTGGACAATGTTGGCCTTGAGCTAGCATACTTCTGCTAGGGTGAAAAGAAAATATTGTTGGCAGTTTTACAGCTGGCAGTCTATACCTCATTATATGTGGCCTACATTAAGACTGGGTAAAAGTTTGAGGTAAAATTAGTTTTCATGATTATACTGACAAAAAAGGTTATGAGGTATGCATTGCTGTGAAATACAGGTCAAACTTCAGGTAACATGACCATTAATGTATTTACAGTTCAAGTGAAATAAAGGAGCCTCACCTAGATTTGATCAACTATTAGCCAGCAACTAGTCAACATTATGAAATCTTTTTCTCCTTTTTCATAATAAAGCATGTATATAAAATGGGAAAATTATACTGTCCATACCACTTATACATAAAATACCTAAAATATCTACTTGAAGTAGCCCCTGAGATTTCAATAATTTAACGAAACAGTTACTGCTAATGTAAATAGTTACTTTTAAGGGTGTTCACATTTGGGTTCACTCTGTACAATAACCAACTAACACTTCAAGTCACAAATCAAATATTTATGTCTTAAAATTGTCTTCAAACGTTCAAAACCTCAAGCTTTTAACATGGCAAATATTAAAGATTTTATTTTGGTAGAAAACTGGTTAAACGCTGCAAACTTCTTTGCACAAAAATGTTGGAAATTATGTGAATATGAATGTAAATAAGTGAACCTATAAAGCACATTACACTCACAAATGCACATTAAACAAACAGTTTGTGGAGTTTGTGAGAAGCAGCATTTATCGAGACGCTCCAAAAACATGGCAAACTGCACAAGTGTAAATGAACACAGTGCCACTCTTCACTCTGAAACACGCAGTACAACAGACTATATAGTTCTTTAATTACATTACAGCCTTTTATTAAATAATCAGTTATTCCTCAGCGGTTTTCAAACCCTGAGAACCCTGCCCTAAACCAACCAAACATGGTTTGCTAACCTGGCAAAGCTGTTAAGCTCGTTTATCTGGTCTGTGGCCAACACCTTGCCTGGTGACCAGCTAAGACCAGTAAACTCCCTTTTCAACAGAGTTTTCATCGGCAAGACAAAATCTTCTTCATCACCAATTTAAGCTGACACCAGAGAGCTTTCTTCTCCAATATTACTGAAGGCAGTAAGATGACGCCAGCTAAATTATGCCTTAGTCACAAACAATAACTATTGGTTATGACACAAACAAGTGTCCTACTTGTCCACTCTATTACACTGAAGCTCTACACTCTATTAAACTGATTATTAAGAAAATGTATTTTACACCACTACATGAAACTTTAAATACTTCTTTATTTTTCTGTAGCTCCAAACTTGTTTACAATGACCTATGTGTCGGCCTAGGGCCACTAAGACCATGAAGATTCATGTTTCTTTCTCCATACATTCTTAGATAGAATATTACATATGCATGTGTGTTCAGAATGAGGGTACGATGTCAGGCTGGAGTTCATAGCTCAGATTACCTTCAGCAAGAAAATAAAATTTGTATCATTTTGCAAGGTAAACAATCTCCCTCGACCCCTCAGTCCATTCATCAAGTTCTCCCTAACTAACATGCTTTATCTGCATTAAAGGGATACTCCACCCCAAAATGAAAATTTTGTCATTAATCACTTTACCCCCATGTCGTTCCAAACCCGTAAAAGCTTTGTTCGTCTTCGGAACACAATTTAAGATATTTTGGATGAAAACCGGGAGGCTTGTGAACGCAAGCAGCATACACTCTTCTGTGTCAGCCGCGCTGCACGGATGCTCGGTTTTCGATCAAATACAAAGCGTAAATACACGTAGAAAACGTATCCTTGTGTCGCGGCTAACATAGAAGAGCGTACGCTGCTTGCGTTCAGCAGATATTCTCCAAAATGGTGCTACAGTGATACGGAGAGACACAGAGGAGACAAATTGTTGAATAAAGTCGTTATTTTTGTTTTCTTCGCGTACAAATAGTATTTTCGTTGTTTCTTAACGTTACGGTTGAACCACTGATGGCAGATGGACAATTCTGACGATGTCTTTCATACTTTTCTGGACCTTGACGGTGTAATTTACTTGGCAGTCAATTGGACAGTCACAAGCCTCCCGGTTTTCATCCAAAATATCTTAAATTGTGTTCCGAAGACGAACAAAGCTTTTAGGGGTTTGGAACGACATGGGGGTAAGTGATTAGTGACAAAATTTTCATTTTGGGGTGGAATATCCCTTTAAGCCTATGGTTGACTTTGGATTTTGCTGTCAGGTTCTCAGGACACTAGAGATGCACGATGTTATCAGAATTGGGCCAATAAAGGCTTAAAATGTAAACATCGGCCCGATATGAAAAATTATGCTGATATGCTTTGCCGATAAGACGAATAACTCACATGTAGTCTGGGTGTGTTATCAATAAGATCACATCAGCAGTGTGGTCGTTCTTGAAGCAAACTTTTGTTTGAATGGTGAATAGATTGTTTTGGATTGCTGCATTTAATCTGAGAATGCAAGTTTGTTGTGTGATGAGAGTCATCAGTTAGTGCACCAGCAGCGGCAGGCAGCCTCCCCCAGGTCCTAATGTGTGTTCAGTACGGCATTTTATTTACTTAGGGGGAGCTGTTGGCCTACTTGTAATAAAATTAAAGTAAAATACACAAATAACATTAAGATTGTATTTCTGATTAAATAAAGCAGTAACTGATGTCATAAAATCACCAGTATGTTTTGATTTAAAGGTCAGAAGCTATAGCTTACATGAATAAAAACTACAAACATGTCACTTGTAAATTAAATCACTATATATATATATATATATATATATATATATATATATATATATGTACAGATTTATTCATTAATGTGTGATATATTTTTCCAAACAGATTATACAAACTTAAATGCAAGGAGCTCTAAAAGATTTTCAGGATTTTCAGAATCTCTAATGCTTTAGACCATCTACAAATGTTAAATCTTCAAATAAAATGTTAAGGTTACCACTGCATCTGTCTGAAGAGAAAAAAAAATGCAGTGATTAATTTATAGTTGATTTCTAGTTATTTTCAAAGCTTTCAATGAACTCTCATTATAAAATAACTTCATTATTGTTGTTTTTTTATCTAACAAGTAAGTTTTTGTTAAAAACTAATTAAATTATTAAAATTAAATATAATTTGTTTATAATCTCTGCACAGGAGAGTCTTGGTGTTTTTTCCAAGCAAAAAGAAAAAATATCGGTATCGGCATCTGTTATCGGCCAAAATGAGCTGAAAAATATAGGAAAAAAAAAAAATCAAATATCATGCATCCCTAGAATACAACCTTAAAGATTAAAGATTTTTTTTTCCAAGTCTTTAATTGATGACACTTTACAATAAGGTTCATTAGTTAACATGAGTTAACTACTTTAGTTAACATGAACCAAGCATGAACAATACTTCTACAAGATTTATTAATCTTAGTTAATGTTAATTTCAACATCTACTAATGCATTATTAAAATTAAAACTTGTGCTTGTTAACATAAGTTAATAAATAGAATGATTAATAAATACTGTAAAAAATGTAGTTCATTGTTTATTCTTGTTAGTTAACACATTAACTAACATTAGCTAATGGAACCTTATTGTAAAGTGTTACCCTTTAATTTGCTAAATTGATTTTTAAAAGATCGGAAGCATTCTGAAGTTAAAATACCATTTAAACAGCATTTTATTTCTCTGTCCTGTGTCTATTCAAAGAATGCAGAGGTGGCGGGTTTCATCTGTGATTTAATGGACTGTCAGGCTGAAGAGCTGTCAACACCAAGCTTAGATAGAGAGTTTGTGCCACAGATCTGTCCACGTGCAGGGTATTATCTTGCATGCTGGTCCCAATCACAAAGGGGATTTGGTTATGGAATGGAATAAGCAACAGGAAATATTAATCAGGGCTTGGAAAGTGGTCTTAAAACCCTGTATGGTTTGGTTTAATGCTTCTCAAAGCATTTTAAGATCAACAATAAATGCTAACATCTATTAATATTCTATTGTAGAGCCACAGAAAAGGAAAATTGGTCTCATCCAAGAGTAAAGAGTGAAAATTTGTCTTGAGAGGCTTTTGAGTATAACATAATGGAATAAATAAAAGAGACTGAAAAAAAAAGTAATTTATTATACCTTAAAAGGGATAGTTGACCCCAAAAAAATGAAACACTTTTGTCATTTACTCACCATGTCATTCCAAAAATGTATGACTTTCATTTTTTTTTATCATAGATGAAGATATTTTGAAAAGTGTCTCAATGTTATTTTTTGACCATACAATGAAAGTCATTGTGATCCGGTGTGGTTTTGAAACCTAGGACTTTCAAACCATTCTTCTTTTGCATTCAGGTTTGGAAAGTCATGAGAGGGAGTAAATGATGACAGAATTCTCATTTAGCTATCTATCAAGAATGATCAAAAGATAGTTGGCTAAAAAGACATCTCAAGATTGTAAGACTACGGTATGTTTGCAAAATAATTTTTGTCCGTTTCCTGTTATTGACTGTTATGGATTTTTCAGGACCTCTAAATTGTGGTTGCAACTTGATCAGAGGATAAGAAACAATATAGCTTTATACTTGTAAACATTTGCACTTGGTTACAGCCAGCTATAATGTGGAGGATGTCAACAGCTGAGTGGCCTCAGAATTTAGCTTAAGCCATATTAGCTGCTGGCTATGAGACATGTCATCCATTCTAACTGTCAAAGAACTGATCTGCTTTCTCATGGCCCAAATCCTGGTTAGTGAGAACCTTATCCACCATCTGAGTCCCTGGGACCAATAACAGAAAGCAAAGGGATTTCAGAAACCCAATGCATCTGATCCATGTTAAAGTGTTGACCATAAGAACCAAACTCTCTCTTATTTCAGGTTCTTGGCTGACCTAAATGTCATAAATAATTCAAGCTGTAAATATGGTGGCTTGTTTATTTTAATGGTCATTCCAACAATCTAAGCCCCTAGCCAAAAACAAACTCCAGGGTTTAGATCACATAAAATGAGGCACTTTGTGTACACGAGACATCACCTCGATTTTCCAGACTCCAAAACCAGACAAGGAGTGGCTAAATATATCGAAGAACCCTACTGTATGTTTACCCTGACATTCTAAGCAAGAGTGTTACTGGCTCCAAGAGACACCCAAACATAAGGACAGATCTTCTGAGATTTTTCAGAAATCGGCACATTCCTAGTGCTGTAGACGCAAAGTGGGAATTGGACTGTGAACATTTAAACGTAATCATCAAAGAAAATAGGGAACACCTTACCTGCTAAAGTGTAGTCCATGTCAAAGCCGAAGCATTTAATCTTTTCCATGGCCAGACTTCTGTTCACAAACACTCTGGGGAAGAATGTGACACATTCAGGGGTATATTTGGTTGCAATATTCTGCAATTCTCAATTTTGATAAAAAATTTAATTTGGAAAAAATAAAATTTCTCAAGATACTTATATTTCAGGAAAAATGGGTTAACTTTCAGAAAGAAAAAAATTACAAACTACTACAGTATGGCATTCCAAGCAATAAATAAACTCCCATACCCGAGGCCACCATGCTGAGTGATCTGCAATTATTATTTTGCACACTTACAGCTCTATGCTTTAGTCCACAAGCCATGCCATCTAATGCCACGATATGAACGCAAAGGAAATTCTGAATCACTCTCTGTGCATGCATATAATCTGATACTGACATAGATAAACCACAAACTGCCATTGTATTCATAGTTTTACAAGAGATTCAAAGTCTATACTGTAGCAAGGAACAATTTCAACAACTTAAAATAAATTCTAAATTTTTATATAGCAGCTGAATAAATGTAAAGTAATATATTTTTACTACACACACAAAAAAATTTAAAATCGGAAATGATCATCAGAATCGTCAGGCCTGTGTTAAACATTTTACAACCCTATAAAAATTTACAAAATTTAAAAAGAAAATCATTATTACCATAAAAAAAACTATTACTTTGATCAATCCTACCTTGTTGTGGCATAACACTGGACTACATCCCATGATTCACTTTTCCAGGTAAGACCTGTGCGCTGCATTCTGAGTGGATGTCACTGCTCTAGCTGGTCTGTCAAGCCCATTTCCCAGTTCACCCTGTTACCCCCACAGCAAACAATAGCCCCCTCTCTCTGCTTTCTTGTCATTGAATTTCTGACTTGTTGCAAAAATGATTGTGCCAGTTCTATAGCATTCTCTGTTGTTGTGCCAGTTGTTGAGCTAGGGGTTGTTTGCTTCCCTTCAAAGACATCTAGAACAATCAACAACAGCAGGAAGAACCAGGCAGGTGCAGTGGCTCAGACAACAGAGTGTGCATCACTAGTTAGAGACAGCTGGTAAACAGATTACTCTTGTATCTCAAATGGATCTTCATTGTTGCCCGATTCTGTAATAGGCTACTTATACTGTACCAGAGACACTATAAAGGGGAGGAGACGAACCTCTCATATAAAAATGAATGGAAGAAATTATGGTGAATGTAGAAATGGGAAGTCCTGCCTTTCAGCTAAAAGAGCCAATTGCCTTTTTAAGTTTGTTTACTTAGAAACATGCATGTGAAAATGATTAAGTAATGTTTGTTTAGTATTTAGTTCAAAATAGGGACACACCAAAATAATTTTTTTACAAAAACACAGAAACCGAAACTAAGCCAACAAACCAAAAAATAATGTATTTGGGTAGCTCAATTTGTTTAAATAGGCAATTTAGTAATTGAACTTGGTTTGCTGTTTAGGGTGTCAAGTTTTCAGGTAATAAACCAGTTGCAGTTAAGCTCTTCAACGACAATATTGTTGAATGTTGTTGTCTCTTGACATTTCTTCTGAACAAATTTTAAATATTGCTGTTTTAGAATCCTTTTGGTCAATGATTGCTCTCCAAAATGAATTTTTTTTTTTCAGGTGCAGCTGACGGTTTATGGGTGTGGAAATTGTGTATCACTGGTTGAAATGTCATCTTGATAAGCAGATTGGAAGTTTTCAAAAACAAACTTACCTTAAGATCGCTCATTAAGATAATAAATGATATTCGCTTAAATTCTGATTCTGGCAAAATATCAGTGCTGGTACTACTAGATCTCAGTGCTGCGTTTGACACGGTCAATCATAACATACTTCTACAGAGACTGGAAAACTGGGTCAGGCTTTCTGGGATGGTAATCAAATGGTTCAGGTCATACTTAGAAGGGAGAGGTTATTATGCGAGTATAGGAGAGCATAAGTCTAAGTGGACGTCCATGACATGCGGATTCCCACAAGGCTCAATTCTTGCACCGCTCTTGTTTAGCCTGTATATGCTCCCACTAAGTCAAATAATGAGAAAGAACCAAATTGCCTATCACAGCTATGCTGATGATACCCAGATTTACCTAGCCTTATCCCTGGTAGAGTAGACTACAATGCCGGCTGTTCTGACTCACAGACTGTAAGTACGTTTTTTATATTTTTCCGGTCAAGACTTGGAGAAACTTGTTCATGCCTTTATCACCAGCAGGGTGGACTATTGTAATGGTCTCCTCACCGGCCTTCCCAAGAAGACCATTAGACAGCTGCAGCTCATCCAGAACGCTGCTGCCAGAATTTTGACTAGAACCAGAAAATCTGAGCATATCACACCAGTCCTCAGGTCCTTACACTGGCTTCCAGTTATATTTAGGATTGATTTTAAAGTACTTTTACTAGTTTATAAATCACTCAATGGCCTAGGACCTAAATTCATAGTAGATATGTTCACTTTTTTTTCGAGTCAGTTAGAAGTACCAAGGGTTCACACAAAACAAGGGGAGTCCGCTTTTAGTTATTATGCCGCCCGCAGTTGGAATCAGCTTCCAGAAGAGATCAGATGTGCTAAAACATTAGTCACATTTAAATGCAGACTCAAAACTCATCTGTTTAGCTGTGCATTTACTGAATGAGCACTGTGCAATGTCCGAACTGATTGCACTATATTTTATGTATAATCATTTTCTATTCTTAACCGTTTTAACTTCATTTTAAACCTCTTAAATCAATTTTTAAATAATTTTAAAAGTTTTAAATTCCTTGTTTTATTGCTGTGATTATTATTTTTTTTTTTCATTTCTTTTATGTAAAGCACTTTGAATTACCATTGTGTATGAAATGTGCTATAAACAAACTTGCCTTGCCTTAAAAGAAACATGATTTTATTCTACACAGCAATGAGGGTTGAGCAATTTTCGGGACCGTATTCTTTTATTTATTTATTCTTTTCATTTTCTATAGCTCCACCACTACGTTCCACAGAGTTAACACATTTTTCACTACATACATACATACACACCAGAAATAACCACTGCCTTTGGACCTCAAATAGACTGTATGGAATCCCTGCCATGACACATGACATTTACTTTTCCTTATCTAAACACACTTATCTGGGTAATGGAACAAGGCAGTGAACTTTTGGCTTCAGCACAGAGAAATGTAAAGTCAAAGTTCACGTATAGTACAAAGAGTAAACTACATTCTAATACAGATGTGACCTTCGGTTGGATTAATACCACAAGTGACGGTGTGTGCTAAAGGTGCAGATTTTTTGTGAAGAACCAAATGGCACCCCTCTTATCTACTGAAGATTGCATAATGCCACTGCATGGCAAATTCCATATTTGTGGGGTTGCACAAGCTTCTCTATGTTCCTCAGTCACCATGTGCCCATGTTCACTATGTAGTTTAAAACAACGCTGCAGGGTTTGGCCTATAATTAGGTAACTCTCTTCTTTATTTTAATTTACCAGAGGAGCTGCTGTCTAAATAATAGGATCTTTTCTTGACAAAGTTGCTTACATTCTTAACATGACACATAAAATCATGGAGTATGGAATGCTTAGTGACAACTATTATAAACTCTTAGACTCAATGGGCTCTTCTAAAATGAGTGGATTGCAAACAAACGACACTTTATCTAAATAGAAAGAATTAAGGATAACACACAAAATGCATTTTCCTTTTGAGGAGATGATGTCTCTGTATTCTAACTGACAAATCTTTCTTTCTAAGCCTAGCAACCCAAACACAGTTATTATACAGTCAGTCTATTCTTCTGATATACCTATGATAGGCCTCTCTCCTGTATTTCTTCATCGCCAGTCCATCCATGTTTGCTGGGAGATCTGCATAGTCCTGAAGTCGATCGCTCCATGATGTCGTCATCATTAAATCTCTCAGTTCTGAGTCTGTAGACAGATTTAATAGATCTATTAAACACTGAGAAAAAAAAGAAAGAAACAGAAAAACCTTGAGTAATATTTTTTTTTACTTTTTATCTGTCTTTGGCACCAAAAGATCACATTAAAGCATGAATGCACTCAGATTTATTAGATTGGATTAGTTATTTTTTGTAGATTTTATCACCTACTAAACAAGCCAATACACAACTTCTGCCTGTTTATGTGCCTGCTTCTAATCTAATTGCATCAGAATCAAGAAAGACAAGAATAACGACTTGATTTGCTTATCTGAGTGATTTAAACAGATAGCATTCAGTCTTGTAACACTTTGTCTGATTGTTTCTCATACAAGAAAAGCCCACTAAGTCATTGTGAAATCTATTTCGTGACTGAAATGTTTGACAAATATTAAGTCTTCTATTACGTTTTCACAACTTCTGGTAAAGATACTATGCTTCCAATTTAGCTTGCCAATACAAACAACCTCTGCATTTGAAATACTTGGTTTTTGGTATGGAAAGGGTTCAAGTACGTGAACAAAATACAGGCAAGCAACCAGAAAACAGACAACCTGGTATTGTCTACCCTCTCTCTCTTGAAAGAAGTTAAATTACATATCACAAAAATTAAGAAAATTCTAACTATTGAAGCAAGATATGCAGCATAAAAACTTGAGTCAGCATACTGAGGCCGGTGGCCTTCACAAAGGCTGACTTGCACAAACAAGCTGGAGACCATAAGGGCAAAGGAAGGAGATTTTCCCACTACCCGTCTATTTTATGATCGTTATAGGGGATAGTAGGGTCTGAAAATAATTTTAGGTGGTGCTGATACAAGCATATAAAAAAAAACAAACAAAAAAACACTCTCACTCTTTTTCGAATACATGCCCCTTAGGACAAACAACAGAACAAAATAGGCCTCCTTCCACAAAAAAAAAAAAAGTAGGTTAAAACTCTTTCATGTAATATGAAAAAAAATAAACATACTCCAAGCAGGCAGCTATAATGGCTCACTGTGGTCTATCAGGCTGATTTGCATCTACATTTTTGAGAAAACCAGAAGGAGAAATAATAGTTTTCTTTCTTTGAGTGCATTTGGTCCTTGAACACCAAATAGACACACACACACAAGAAAAAAGGGGAAAAAAATATTTGTTTATTTTGGCAAGATGTTCAGCTGTCATGATAGAAGTTGAAGGTTGATGGGTTTCGGTAACTTTTCAGCGGGTATCTCTATATTTAGCAATATTTCACAAATAGTGCAAATTAGATATTAACAAATATCCAAACATGGTTTGAGCCACATTTAGCTTCAAAATGTTGTGCCAAGATATAGCCTCCTTACAACATTTTACTGATAAGTAGCAGTAGCCTAAGACACTGGAGTGGAGACTAAAACTTACTCTTATAGATATCTTACCTGAACCAGTTTGTTGACTTGCACTTTTAGGTGCTTTTTAATCACAAAAAGTTACATTCAGCAGCTGAAAAACAAGGACAAAGCCCCCGGGGATGTTTGGAGAGCTGGCTGGTAAGCAGCCACAGCATTTCCCTGAAAATGGCTGAAACAGAGCTTGATTCAAACAGTTTTGATGTTTAAACGATGTATTAAAATCAAGTAACGTTATCCACTGTGTTCGGTATCGCGCCTGGTATCTTGTTTATTTATGTTCGTGTAAAATATATTTCCATTGGAGGTCCTCAGACACTGGCTGAATACACTCGGCGCTGTGATAAACATCAAACATCGCTGATCTTTTCAAGCTGAAGACAGGCGAAGAGACATGCAAACAAACCACTGACACTAACAACAACAGCTGTAAGTTCAGCCCTATTCGTTCACTTACCTTCCGTCAATACACACAAGCTTAAGTGCACTGGCAGTGCTGTAAACACTTCGGGAAATATCAATAAGACAGAATGCACTGCAGTATTCGAGTGAAGCTGTGAGTCTGTTAATGTGAATTAAAAGCTCGTCATAACCGTGTTGTAAGCAGTTGTTGAGGGGCAGGACTGGGCGGGGCTTGACATCCAGAGGAGGCGGAGCCAAATCTGTCATCACGTCAGAGACGGAGAAATGTGAAGGCGGGACAGAGTCAGCCTCTTGAAGATGGTTTGGTCTACTGACAGCTCATTGTTTACAGGATTTTATTGTATTTTTTTATTTAGCCCGTCTGTTTAAAGTAACACTTTACCATAATTCGTTAACAGTTAATGTAATTTGCAAAAGTTTTTGGCCATCTTGATGAATGTAGCCTATTGAACATATAAGGGCTTTTTAAAATGGGGTCCAGGGCCGCTGGGTTTGAGGTTATGTTTGGGCCCTATACCTATACACTACAAATGCCCTCAACTAGAACATCATTATGGAGTAACACAAAATACTCAAAAATGTAAATATGCTTTGAGGTGCATAGCCTATATAGTACAATTAATATGCATATGTCTAGCCCAGTCAACGTTTAGATGAAATATTAAATAGTCCTTATAATACAACAAACAGGATGTGTTATCAAAACCCTGAAATTACAATGAGCAAAAAAAAACAAAAACGTACTTTTGTCAGATTCTTACATTTAATCAATAAATGCAATCCGAATAAAAAGACATGTTGGCTATTAACAATCAAATGAAATCACTATGAACAAAATCCATAGATAGATTCTGCATAAATTATGTCAAGTTTAAATATAACATTTTAATGTAGAAATATTAAATGATTGCAAAAATGAAATAATAAGCTACAGTAGCCTACTTTTTAACATATGAAACTACAACCGCCAGTAGCTGGCAAGTAACTGTCTTGATGAATGAGTCAAATCAACCGATTCGTTTAAAATGCTAATCATTTAACGTCGCAAACAACTGTACTTACAGCCTGATTGAATCATTTACTGGTCCGTGTAACGCTGAGGAACAAAACACCGTGTTGCTCGGAGATGCGGTTCTGCTGTTTATTCTATTTTCTTTTTGACAGGGAAAAATTAATTTTTTTGTGTCTAAAGGATACATAGGAACTTGGTTATTGTACATTTGCGATCGTGCAGATATTCGGAAAAACATACTTGTTTGTATGATAGGCTAACTCCTATAGGCTATCATATGTTATAAAAACAGAAACTCATTAAATGGGTATATTTAATTTATTTTATTTTTTAAAATCATTTTGGGAGAGAGGGAGATGGGAGAGAGCACTCAAAAACACTTCAGATCGCATAATTTAGTGGAACATTAATTTAATAGCCTAGACATCCTGTCAGCCCTGTGTTCCCGTGTTTGTTCTGTTTTTCTCCTAATGTGCTCCGTGACCTAATTTCTCCCTCGTCTTGATTGTGTTCATTGATTTCAGGTGTGTCTTGTCATTTGGCCCTCGTTATCCTGTGTATTTAAGCCCCAGTCTGTTCAGTCTGTGTTTGTCAGGTCTAAACGTCAGTACCTTGTTCTACGTGTGGTTTCCTTGCTATAAAGTTTGTGAAGCTGATTCTCCTGTGTCCTCGCTCTCTCCTTGCGCCGACACAGTAGAAGTGTGACAGAAGACCTGACCTAAATAACAGTAAGCAGCGACCCTTTTGCTTCTTTTCTGAAAGTAGTTTTTCCGTTAACCCCCCTCCATAAATGGATAAATATTAATTCTGCTGTTAGAAACAAATAAAGAAACAGTGTAGGAGAGTGTTTATTATGTGCAAACAGTGAGAAACTCTATATTTGTGCAGTGTGCGCATGTAAAAAAAATCTATTCTATCTACATCAACCCGATCACTTTATTTAGCGTTCATGTAAACACTACATTCAGATTCATAAATCGGAATGAATTCAGTCTGATTGAACCAAAAATCGTGCATGCAAACGTAACCACGAAGACAGCGCATTAGTTTAGAACTCTTCTAATTTTTATTTTTATTTTTTAAACGTAGAGAGTGTGTTGATTTGTGCAATGATAAGCTACCAGCAATGTTAAGATGATTTTAATATATTAGAATGAGCACATTACAATATAACTCGTATGTTATTATTATGGGCTTAAAACAAGATGCAAACAATCAGAATATTGTACCTGGTGGCCGTGGGGAGTGCACAATGTAAATATGAAACATATGCCATTACCTATAGACCTTTTTCATGGAACGCGAAATTACCCATTATGCTTTGCGCGTACGCGTATGGAGGATGCTTCGAACTTCCGGTTGCAGCTTGATGCGTTTAGTTAGGCGTTACAGAGTTATTTGGACAGCTCTGAAACGACGGTTGTAATCTGTTTTACTTACTTTTAACGTCCATAATGTCAACAAGCAACGGCAACTTTAGTTCACGGTGGCAGCACGATCAAGACCTGCAGTGCTTGAAGTGGGGGAAAAAATAAGTGTCGGTGTTGTGCCCAATTCTAACCCCCGCCAGATTATTACCCCCCCCGTATTGGTAGGTTTAGAATTAGGTGTGGGGGAGGGGTTAGGATTAGGCTATCAGGTAGTGATTTCAACGAGGGGGGTAATAATTTGGCAGAGTCGAAAATGGGCACAACACCTGCCCACTTCAAGCACTGACTGTGATTCAATGTAAAGACTTTTTACAGCAATATTTAACCAATTATAAATTTCAGTTATAACAAAATTGTTTAGCTCTAAAAAAGTGCTAATGGTGATGTACTGTTTAATAATAAAGTAAATAAAGTGAACAGTATGTTCTGATTTTTGAAAGGTGCAAAATGCAGTGGCCAGTGGTATGACAGGGCTATCTTGCACTGATGAGCAGTGTAGATGGAATGCAGGAACCAGAAGAAACCTTGAACAGAAAAGAATTAGTCAGATGACATTTAGACGTCACAAAGCTGATGATGTATATGGTGCGTCATCAACAAGGGAGGGAGAAAGGCCACCATCTACACCAAGCTATGACACGCATCAAGACTTCAGGGAGAGAGTCAGTTCTTCAGACACAAAACCACTTTTTGAATTAAAAAACAGTCTTTTGGAAAAATGCTACAATGCCAATGTATCAGTGCAAGCAGATGACACTGACAGCTGCACAGTTATGGAGGCCCTTCACAATGAAGAGGTCAAGTGCCTGTTCTGCCAATAGTTAGCAATGGCCCTATGGTATGCAGTGTTTAATAAATTCAGTGCAGTCCCGTATCATATTGTGGCCTCTGTATCATGATACGTATCGTATTGTGACGTTGCTGGTGATACACAGCCCTGATATATATATATATATATATATATATATATATATATAGTATCTCACAGAAGTGAGTACACCCATCACATTTTTGTAAATATTTTATTATATCTTTTCATGTGACAACACTGAAGAAATGACACTTTGCTACAATGTAAAGTAGTGAGTGTACAGCTTGTATAACAGTGTAAATTTGCTGTCCCCTCAAAATAACTCAGCGCACAGCCATTGATGTCTAAACCGCTGGCCACAAAAGTGAGTACATCCCTAAATGAAAATGTCCAAATTGGGCCCAAAGTGTAGCCACCATTATTTTCCAGCACTGCCTTAACCCTCTTGGGCATGGAGTTCACCAGTCATGGCCTAATGGTTAGAGAGTCGGACTCGTAACCCAAAGGTTGCGAGTTCGAGTCTCAAGTCCTACAGGAATTGTAGGTGGGGGGAGTGAATGTACAGTGCTCTCTTCCACCTTCAATACCACGACTAAGATGCCCTTGAGCAAGGCACCGAACCCACAACTGCTCCCCGGGCGCCGCAACATAAATGGCTGCCCACTGCTCCTGTTACACTCCTCCATGACGACATCACGGAGCTGGTGGATGTTAGAGACCTTGCACTCCTCCACCTAACGTTTAGGTCTGGAGACATGCTTGGCCAATCCATCACCTTTACCCTCAGCTTCTTTAGCAAGGCAGTGGTCATCTTGGAGGTGTGTTTGGGGTCGTTATCATGTTGGAATACTGCCCTGCGTCCCAGCCTCCGAAGGGAGGGGATCATGCTCTGCTTCAGTATATCGCAGTACATGTTGGCATTCATGGTCAATGAACTGTAGCTACCCAGTGCCTGCAGCACTCATGCAGCCCCAGACCATGACACTCCCACCACCATGCTTGACTGTAGGCAAGACACACTTGTCTTTGTACTTCTCTCCTGGTTGCCGCCACACACGCTTGACACCATCTGAACCAAATAAGTTTATCTTGGTCTCATCAGACCACAGGACATGGTTCCAGTAATCCATGTCCTTAGTCTGCTTGTCTTCAGCAAACTGTTTGCGGGCTTTCTTGTGCATCATCTTTAGAAGAGGCTTCCTTCTGGGAC